CTCTGTAGATTTTCAATGCTGTGAATGTGGCGGTCTTGTCATTCTTGGTCAGTCCTCCATCTGAATTAGTATTGCTAAGGATATAAGTAGCTCAAAAAAAAATTTTTTTTTCACGATTCGGGCATCGTATTAGAATTAGGAAGATACTTACAATGATGCACGACACATCGTTGTTCGGTAGCTCGAGGTGAGTTGATTCCTTCGAACCATCTGCCCATAAACTTGCTAAGGTCGAAGTCAGCAGGAGTTTCGGGAAGCAAAGCATCCGTAACGTTGTCAGCCAAAGTCTGCAGCTGCTCAGGTGGGAGCATATCAGCCAGGGTAGTACCATTGGATAGTCTTCGAGTAATTGATCCTAAAAAAGCAGTGTTTTCGAAAATTTCAAGGTTTTTCGCACTAATTCCAAGTCTTCTGAACAGTTAATTGATAAATCGCTCGCTGCGCGTACTATACGGCGACAGTGACCCGAATGTTTCCGTTGCGCCACTAACACACATTCTTAAATGTCGTTCGCAATCACAAGAAATGTTGCAAAATATCGAAATGTATCTGAAGGAACACTGATGAATGATAATTTTAGTTCTTACCGATGAGATTGACGACATCAATTTGTCCCTGAGCGTTGCGAGGAATTCCGCCAGGTAGTAAAGGGATTCCGGGAATTCTTGGGAGACCAGCATGGGTTGGAGTGTTACCGCCTCCTAAAAGACAACTGCTTCTTTTACTGCCATTACTATTATAACAACTTTACTTATTTGCTTATTTTCTTCACAAAAAGCTCACCTCCTCCAAGGAAGGATGAAATTCCAGATAATGCTCGCTGAGCTGTAGAAGGCTGTCTACGAATATCCTTTCCACGAATTTGGTTTGTGATGGCGTTTTCGTCAACGGATTGTGAGACCACAGGGCCATCAACTGAGGAGGAGGAGGAGGAAGATGAGGCTCCGTGTCGAGCAGCAGCAGCAGCAGCAGCAGAAGACGATGATGAAGAATGTGGTGATCCCAATAGTGACGGCAACGATTGTGACAAAGCATCAGATACACCAGCTGAAAAAGCTACTTAAATGCATGCAGGGGAAAAAAATTTGCGAAAACCTACTTTCTTTGACTAGTTTACGAATGGAGTTTGATAACAATCCGATCAAACCATTCTCTCCTGGCTTGTCAGCAGGAAGTGGGACATGACCACCATTTCCTTCGAATGGTCCGGAGTTACGAGCTTCGTTTACGAGCTGCGTAAGTTGATCTTGGAACTTGGGATTGGCTTGAGC